AGACTGATTGCTGCATCTTAGATGGCCTCTTGCAAGCTTTTAAGATCCCAGTGGGAGCTCTGGTAGCGTAGTGGCTAAGGCACTTGACTGCTAACCAAAAGGCTGGCAGTTCAAACCCACCAGCCACTCCTCAGAGGGAAGATGGGGCAATCTACTTCCGTAGTGATACTGTCTCGGAAACCCAAGGAGGGGTCGCTATGAGTCGGGGCCGACTCAACGGCACATAACAACAGCACAAGATCCCAATTACTACTCAACAAAAGTAGGATGTAGAACAATGTTTTTGTGTAGTACATTATGCCAATTGAGCTTGATGTCCCCTGCGACCATGGTCTCGAGCCCATTGATCCAGTGGCTCACTCTTTCAGGGTGTTTGTCTGTGGCTAAGTTATCATAACTTTGCCCTATTAACTCTATTTTATATATGGACATTCTTATAGGACATACAAATATGTATGTAGAAATATCATCTGCCAAGCATATATGGTTATGAGTATATTCCTTTTTTTTTGCCTAGACATACCTGATCATTTAGCCTGTGTCCTTTACTTTTTGAGTGGCATCTTCCCCCGTGTGACCTCAAAAACATCTCTTTTCTTCTCTGGGCCTCAGTTTGCTTACTTACCAAATGTAGCTATACCACACAGCATGTTGTTATAATTCTGCTCTAGGCCCTGCCATCAAATTACCTCTTTTTCCTTTCCCCCTAAATGTAGCTACTACAACAGGACCTTATAAGTGGGTTTGGGTCCCAAAATCTCAAATTACATTCCTGCTTATAATGAGCTTATTGGGGAAAAAAAAATCTCCCTGTGGCTGGAAAGGCAAGTGACCCTAATGATGAGAAGAGTAGCCTCACATTATATGTTTAAGAAATGCAGGCAGAACTACTCCAGGCAAGAAATTATTTTTCCCATTCACATTTGTATGAAAATTCACTTAACAGCTTCATGTCTTTCACCTCCCGCCATGTACCTCTCATCTGCTCCCACTCATTTTAACACTTACACTGGCCAGGGTGGAATCAGTACTTCAGTGAAAAGGATAGTTACCAGATGTAACTGAACATTTGGAGTTTTGTCCAGCACCAGCTCAACTGACAAACGTTCATGCACTTTTAGGCCCTTTTAAATGGGATAGGGCAATCTAATTCTGTACTGATACCGCCATGGAAACCCAAGGAGGGGTTGCTATGAGTCAGATCCGAATCGATAGCAATGAGTTTGGTTTTTTGGAACCTTGTCCTAAAGAGCTCTGGTGGAGCAGTGGTTAAAGCATTTGGCTACTAACTAAGGTCAATTGTTTGAACCCACCTGCTTCTCTGTGGGAGAAATATGTGTCAGTCTGCTTCTGTAAAGTTCTACATCCTTGAAAACCTTATGTCCTATACAGTCACTGTTAGTCGAAATTGACTCAGTGGCAGTTGATTTTTTTTTTTTTGGGAGGGGAATTAATCTTGTGCTGGATTAACATGCAAATGCAGAGGTGGATGAATCTGTCATGGATGTATAGCATCTTTATCAAATTTGCAAGTGGTAACGCTGAAAGGAGGACCAATGTGTTGGATGACAGAATCGGGATCCAAAGAGCTGTTATAATGGGCAAATTGAGAGTTTTTCTAGAGTGTGACCAGGGTAATTCCCTGTCTGTGTAACCCAGGTCCAGAAGATCTACTAAGTTTTACCTACAGAGAACCTGAATTTATGAGGGGCAGGCACACAACAGGTGACTTCAAACGCTGAGAAGGAACTGACTCTACTGTGTGGGGCTCCAGTCCTACAACTATTAGATAGAAGTTACAAGGAGGCAGGTTTGGACATAGTGTAAGCAACATATCACAGGAAGGGCTAAATGACTGTTGGACAATGGTTTCAGGCAGGAAGTAAGGTATTGGTGACCAACACAATCAATTTCCAAAACTCAAATCCTCTGGCCAGAATAAGCTCTGTGATTATGCCACCTCAGTGACCCATGATTAGAGTTGATCCACCTACTGGGATTATAGGTGATTTCTTAAAAAATAAATCTGAAGTGATACAAGTATTGTGTAAGGGCAGGGATTGGGACACATCTATTTATACATATGTACTCCTTATGTTTACCATGAACACCAAAAAAATGTTTGGTTCCTAAGACTGTAAATTCTATTCTGTATAAGAACCAGGCCATTAGTAGGCATTGTTGTTGTTGTTGTTGTTTGCTGTCGAGTCGGCCCCGACTCATAGCGACCCCTCCTTGGGTTTCCGAGGCAGTATCACTACGGAAGTAG